TGGAGAGCCATTCTTGTCAATGTGCAGGGCTGAGTCGGGTGCCTTTCTGGACCCAGACCTAGACAGACCCTGGGCCATTCTGTTCTGCAGGCAAACAAGCTAGTCTCGTTAGAAGGTGGCAATCACAGGCTTTCCACATGGACAGTGAAGCTGCCTGGACACTGTTTTTGTTTTGTTTTGTTTGAGACAGAGTCTTGCTCTGTCGCCCAGGCTGGAGTGCAGTGGTGTGATCTCGGCTCACTGCAACCTCCCCTTCCCGGGTTCAAGCAATTCTCCAGCCTCAGCCTCCAGAGTGGCTGGGACAACAGGCGGCTAACTTTCGTATTTTTTATTAGAGATGGGGTTTCACCATATTGGCCAGGCTGGTCTCAAACTCCTGACCTTGTGATCCGTCTGCCTCAGCCTCCTAAAGTGCTGGGATTACAGGCGTGAGCCACCCACTGCGCCTGGCAGACGCTGTTTTTTGTGTTGTTCCTGTTTGTTTTTTTGAGACGGAGTCTTGCTCTGTCACCCAGACTGGAGTGCAGTGGCACGATCTCGGCTGACTAGCCTCCCTGGTTCAAGTGATTCGCCTGCCTCAGCCTCCTGAGTAGCTGGGATTACAGGCATACACTACCGCACCTGGCTAATTTCTGTATTTTTAGTAGAGACCGGGTTTCACCATGTTAGCCAGGGTGGTCTCGAACTCCCGACCTCAAGCCATCCGCCCGCCTTGGCCTCCCAAAGTGCTGGAATTACAGGCGTGAGCCGAGCCCAGCCAGATGCTGTGTTTTCCTGGCACTCCACTTTATGAACAAAACTGTCACCTGTATGTCCCTGGCTCCACCCCTTCGGCTCTGCTGCATTCCTGGACCTACTCACTAATTCAAAGTGTTCTCAGTTTGGCCTCCTTGGCTCCTTCCTGGTGCAGCCGTTTACTCCCCTGCTCAGGCTTTGTGTCTCTGTAACTGCTGACGTCACAAGCAGCAGCTCTACCTGCCTGTCATCCAAGGTCCGGGACTGCGGCTTCGCAGCGCTAACAGCGCGATGTATGTGCCGACAGTGCCACCTCCTGGCCCTGCCGAGGCTGCCCGCAACAGGCAGGGCTCACAGTGCGCCCTTTTTTCTGCTGCAGTCCTTGAGATTCAGCAGGAGGCCTGGCTAGGGGAGCTTGAGCGGCTGGCACGGGGGTCTGGCCCGTTTCCATTCTGACCCATGCTGTCCTTCTTTCAGATTCTAGAACTTAATTCTTCTCTGGACCTCCCTCTCAGCCACAGGCCTTTGAATGTGCTGGGCTGCAGCTGGGATCCCCTCATCACCACTCTTCTCCCCAAACTTCTTCATCCCTTGGCCGACCTTGAAGACTTAGCTGAGGCTGGTGTGGTGGTTCATGCCTGTAATCCCAGCACTCTGGGAGGCTGAGGCAGCTGCATCACTTGAGGTCAGGAATTCAGGACCAGTCTGGCCAACATGGTGAACCCCTGTCTCTACTAAAAATATAAAAGTTAGCTGGGTGTGGTGGTGGGTTCCTGTACTCCCAGCTACTGGGGAGGTTGAGGCAACACAATTGCTTGTATCTGGGAGGTGGAGGTCGCAGTGAGCCAAGATGGCAAGCCACTGCCCTCCAGCCTGGGCAACAGAGCAAGATCCTGTCTCAAAAAAAAAAAGTTTTAGCTGAAATGTTACTCCCTCGACTCCTGGGACTTAGTCAAGCCTCCCTGCTATGAGATCTCTCCCCTTCTTGCTGGATGGGTGGGCAATGCTGGAGGATCTGGAGAGAGGAACATTCATGGTTCAAGAGCATTTCCAAACAGCAAACAGAGGTTTCAGAACCCTGTGAGCACCGATGCCTCCCCGCTGAGAAGCTGCTCACACACGCTTAGTGACCCTCCCAGGAGAGATGGAGGCCTGTCAGACACGCCGGCCTTGGTGAGAAAGCCTCTGTGCATTTCTAGTTTATCCCAATAAGCTGATTCAGGAAAGGGAGCATCGACTTCCTTCTGTTTACTGTGGAGGACTCACATCTTCCTTCTGCCCAGGAGAGTGGCCACCTCCTTGCCAGTGCAGACCTAGTGCTCACTGGAGGCTGGAGAAGGCACCCCCAAGAAATGTTCAAGCATGATAGTTACCCGAGGCCCCTAGTGCCCCAGGAGCTGCTCATCAGCCCAATTTTGTTCCTAATATTAAAAAAAAAAAGTAAGGAAATTCAGTGAAAGTGTAAGCGTACAGGCATATGTAGTAGGTAACCTGGGATTCACTCTTACTGGGGGAATGCCACCCAGGTTTTGACAAAATACAGAAGGCAAAAGAAACTGCATTTGGTATAATAAAATACAATCAGGCAGAGCAAGGTGGCTCACACCTGTAATCCCGGCACTTTGGAAGGCCGAGGCAGGTGGACCGCCTGAGCTCAGGAGTTTGAAATCAGCCTGGGCAACATGGTAAAACCCTGAGTCTACAAAAAATACAAAACTTAGCAAGACACGGTGGTACACACCAGTCATCCCAGTTTCCAGCAGGGCTGGGGTGGGAGGATCGCTCGGAGGTCACGGCTGCAGTGAGCTGTGTTCACACCACTGCACTCCAGTCTGGGTGACAAAGCAAGACCCTGTCTTGAAAAAAACATTAGCAGCCTATAATTCCAAAGCAGAAAACCAGCTGGCTGGTTGTGCACTAAATCTGACCAGCCGTTATGTGTACGCTGTGTGCGTGTGCAAGTGCGTGTGCAAGTGCGTGTTTGCATATGTGTCGTTTAAATACTTTACTTACCAACATTTACATTTCAGGAAATTTCACATCAAATAATCTATAGGATCTTTTTAAACATGAAGTGGGCAACATGAGATCCCCACTTCTTTTTTTTTTTTTTAAGATGGAGTCTTGCTCTATACCCCAGGCTGGAGTGCAGTGGCATGATCTCGGCTCACTGCAACCTCCACCTCCCGGGTTCAAGCAATTCCTTACCTCAGCCTGCTGAGTAGCTGGGATTACAGGTGTGTGCCACCATATCTGGCTAATTTTTTTTGTATTTTATAGTAGAGACAGTGTTTCACCATCTTGACCATGCTGGTCTTGAACTCCTGACCTTGTGATCCACCCACCTCGGCTTCCCAAAGTGCTGGGATTACAGGCATGTAAAGGAAGCTTTTTTTTTTTTTTTTTTTTTTTTGAGACAGAGTCTTACTCTGTTGTTCAGGCTGGAGTGCAATGGTACAATTTTGGCTCACTGCAACCTCCGCCTCCTGGGTTCAGGTGATTCTCTTGCCTCAGCCTTCAAAGTAGCTGGGACAACAGGTACGCATCACCATGCCCGGCTAATTTTTGTATTTTAGTAAAGACAGGGTTTCACCATATTGGCTCCTCACCTCGTGATCTGCCCACCTCAGCCTCCCAAAGCCGTGGGATTCCAGGCGTGAGCCACCATGCCTGGCCAAGACCCCCACTTCTATCAGTAGCCATGCTGGCTGGATCCAGGTAGGCTGCTTGTGTTTCCAGTTCACCCCAGTCCCTGCCTGGCCTCTGCAGGCCTCTGGGTTTGCAATCCTAGCTCTCCACCACCGCCGCTACTACTGAGAGTGTGCCCCTCCACTACTCAGAACCTCATTGCTAAGCCCATCTATCAGGTGAAAAACCTGAAGCCCAGAGAGAGAAAGTGACTTACCTAGAGACACACAGCTCTTAGTAAGCAGAGTGGAGGCCAACCCCGCACATTCCCACTCTGATATTTAAGAAAAAAAATGATTTAATAATCCCAAAGTTTCTTCCCTCCCTCTCTCCCTCCCACCCTCCCTTCCTTCCTTCCTTCCTTCCCCTTCCCTTCCCTCTTCCTTTCTTCCCTTTCTTTCTTTTCTTCTCTCTCTCTCTCTTTGAGACAGGATCTCAGTCCTCACTCTGTCACTGAGGCTAGAGTACAGTGGCGTGATCACGGCTCACTGTAGCCTCGACTTCCTTGGGTTCAAGGGAGCCTCCCACCTCCGCTTCCCAAGTGGCTGGAACCACAGGCACGGGCCACCACCATACCCGGCTAATTTTTTGTAGAGATGGGGTTTCACCATGTTGCCCAAGCTGGTCTCAAACTCCTGGGCTCAGGGAGGCCTCTTGCCTCGGCTTCCCAAAGTGCTGGGATTACAGCCGTGAGCCACCGTGCCCGGCCAATCGCAAAGTTTCTGAGTAAGAAATGGGATTCCATTCCATCCCCAGCTCACTGTTCCTAGCCGCTGGTGGCAGCCTGGTTTGTCTCCTGCTTGGACAAACACAGAAGCCTAAGCTCACACTTTTTCTTTTTTACGGTTTAAAAAAAATTATTTTCTATTTTTTTTCCCTATGACGTAGCTCCAGGAGATCCTGAGAACACGTGCCCTACAGTTTGGCTTTCAATCTTCTGATTGCAAAGCTGGGATCATCCTGCAGATGCCATGCTACAGTGTACCCTTCCCACCAACCCAGCCCCCACGAAAGCCCCTGAATGGCCATCTTTCCCATTCAGGACACACAGCACAGTGTCTTTCTTTCTCCTGTCACCCCACAGGCCTGAACAGAGGGCCAGAGAGGCAGAGTCCTGCGATTCACCTGCTCAGTCTCCCATCACAGGACCCTGGGCAAGTCACTCCTCTTCCAGAGCCTCAGTTTCCCTGCAGGAAAGAGGAGGTGCTCAGAGGCAAGGTGGATGAAACAATTTCTGGGCTTCTTGTATCTCAAAAGAAATTCTCTTCCCATGGCCGGGCACGGTGGTTCACACCTGTAATCCCAGCACTTAGGGAGGCTGAGGCGGGTGGATCACCTGAGGTCAGGAGTTCAAGACCAGCCTGGCCAACATGGTGAAACCCTGTCTCCACAAAAAAACACAAAAATTAGCCGGGCATGGTGGCACACCCCTGTAATCCCAGTTAATTGAGAGGCTGAGGCAGGAGAATCACTTGAATCAGGGTTTAAAGGGATCAGAAACAGTGATTCCTGTGATTCACCTGTTCACCTCTCCAGCATGACCAGTTCTCAACAGGGAAACTACTGTTTTCCAACAGCAGAACAAAGTAGGAAGCTCATCAATGGAAGCTGCAATTCCTCAGCTGTTCCTGTTAATGAAGGAAATGAACGCAGCCTGCCGCTCTCGGTCTGTACCAACCAGGCTTCTTGGTCAAGCAGAGGCACCAACTCTGTTTTTTTAGGGCAGGAAACAACATGAAATTCACTGGAATAATATCAGAAGAACCCCACCTGCTCAGGAGTCTGGAGATTGGCTTAGAAAATTAACAGACGCTAAGACAGCAGCATGGTGTCCAAGGCAGCAAGCACAAGAGCCCCGCTTTGTGGGCTCACAGGAGTGACGCGGCCACAGCGCTGCCCCACCACCTGCGGACGTCATCTCTGCCGGCACAGGACTTGTCGCGCCCATCTCTATTCCCCTCTGGGGCGTTCCTGCTGCTCTCACTGGGAATGGGTTCTGAGCACCCGGGGTTGGCCTTGCCTGCTCGGGATTCAGGATCCCACGTGGAAGCAGCCAGTTAGTCAGCCTAAGCCTTGTCTAGAGCCCTGGATGTCAGGGGAAAACACTGTTTTTCCTTCCATCCTCCAACCTGTCCTCGGTCACATCCGATGAATCGTCAGCTTTGCTTAAGACAACTAGACCCTGTTTCTGTGGCTTGCAGCAGATACTCACAGTAGAGTGGAATTGCATCAAATGCGGAAAACGTGGTGGCATTTTTACTATAAGCGTCAGGGGCAAAATGCTGATGGATCACTGAGGAAGTAAATTGCTCAGTGCTGGAAATCTTCAGTGAAATGGATGAAAAATTGTGAATTAGCCGAGAACTGATGAATAGTTGACAAATGACACACATTGTTCCCGAGTTAGGCAAGTCAGTGGCTGTGGCTCTGTTGACTTCTTCAGGAAGAAATGGGTGAATCAACTGAATGTCAGGGGAACCTCAGCTGACGGGGAGTTACAGGGACTGAGGCAAGTCGTCTGCTCCATGCTACACACACAAAAACTAAGTAGGCCTTAAGGCACTTTTTGAGTCACTCAGGAGAGGTTCTGCCATGATTTCGTGCATCTTGTATCTCTCGCCCCTGCTCTGGGCTCCAGCCAAGGTGTCCACAGGTTCTATACATGGAAATATAGATAATTAATGCCCGCGGAGCAAGCCCATCAAGAACAGGAGCAGTGGTTAGAGGCCTCCCTCTCCGCTCCCTGTAGGGGAAAATTCTGAGGATGCTCCTTGAAGCCTCCTCAGGAGGTCTCCAATCACCCTATCAAATGCTTCTCCAGGCATCCGTCTTTCATTCTTCTCTGTATCACTCCTCCCAGACCCCACGTCCTGCCGCTAGAATCGCTTCCCAAACATATTCTCTGCATGTGAGCTTTGCCTACGGCTCTCTCTTTCGGGGACCCCAGGCCACAGTTAGGCAGCATGAAGGCCCTGGGCTTTTGTGCTAAAAGTAATGGGAAGCCACCACAGAATCGGAAGCAGGTGTTGATGAAATCTATGTTCTTAAGGGCCAATCTGGCCCAGGGTGGAGGATGGGCTGGGATAGCGGCAAAAGCTGTGTAACAGGGAAGACCATTCTGGAAGCTCTTGCAGGAGTCTGGGCAAAATGAGAGGGCACCCTGGATAAGGGTGTTTGCAGACTGAATGAGGGTGTTTGCTGTCTGGCTGTCTCTGTCCCTTTATGTGTCATGGACTTCCTTTTCATTTTTGTTTTTTTTTTTTGAGACGGAGTTTCGCTCTTGTTACCCAGGCTGGAGGGCAATAGCGCGATCTCGGCTCACCACGAGCTCTGCCTCCTGGGTTCAAGAAATTCTCCTACCTCAGCCTCCCGAGTATCTGGGACTACAGGCATGTGCCACCATGCCCAGCTAATTTTTGTACTTTTAGTAGAGACGGGGTTTCACCATGTTGACCAGGATGGTGTCGATCTCTTAACCTCGTGATCCACCTGCCTCAGCCTCCCAAAGTGCTGGGATTACAGGGGTGAGCCACCGCACCCGGCCCCAGACTTTCTTTTAATCTACACACAGGCTCCTCTGATTTTAGTAGCCGCATGTGACCCATGTCACTCTCAGGCCCTGGCTGCTAGATGGGGACCACACATGGGCTCGGCCCAAGCCAGATGTCTATAAGCTTTTCCTGAGTGCCTCGGGGGGACACTGGGCACTGGGGTCTCAGAGTAATGACGGGCCAGGAGAGCAAACAGAAGGGGCCGTGGAGACCTAGCTCCCTGAGACACTGGAAAAAGGATCGTGAGGAAAGAAGGCAGGCACCTAGAGCCCGGGGGAGCCTCCATCAGCACCACAAAGGTACAGGCATCAGTCAGTGTTGCTTAAACCTGAATCTCCAGAACGCAAGAGGGGAGAGCCAGGTAGACCTGAGCTCATCATCTCATCCTGCCCCCTTTCCCAGCTGATGAGCAAACGGAGGCGCAGAGACGCAGGATCTCTTGACTGCAGGCTGGGTTATCTTTTCAATGCACCACGAAGTTACTTGACTTGTTGCTGGCATCTGGTTTTGCTTTTATTTTCCTTCACTAATCAACTACTTTTCAAATACGGCATTTGGAGCTTCACTGGAATGTCATCGGCCCCTCAGCGTACCCTGTTCTTAAGGAGAACCAAGCACGTGTCAAATCCTCGCACCGTCGGCTGACATCACCACCATCAGCTTTACCACTGTTAGGACAAAAACTTGAGACGGTAACTTGCCCCCAAAGTGGGAAAGGAGCCGTGAGACTGAGGAATGACTCGAACAAGTCCAGCTTGGCCAGCAGGTGAGTTTATTAGGACGTCCACACAGGGCGCTCAGCAGGACGGCTCTAGAGATCCATTCCGCCTTCGGTCTCCAAACTGCTTTTCAGTTGACTTTCCCGCTCTTTGCCTACCGTGTATGAGCCACTTTTTCTTGTTGTCTCTCATGTTCTCCAGGATGTTTAGATTCTCAGAGGCACCTGGTCCTCAGCTGGGGACCATGGCCATGGCTCATTACCTGGCTTTCAGGGTTCAAGCAGGGGACATACACCCTTAAATAACCTAAAAGGGGACCCATCACACTACAACCACCACCAAGAAGGCCCTGTCTAACTGAGACACACCCCGGAAGGACAAGGGGGAGTGGATGCTGGAGAGACAGGGTGGGAGCCCATTGCCAGGGAAAGGCTTCATTCTTAGAAAAACATTGAACGAATGGGCAGGTCTGCATTTTGGCTCTTTCTCTTCCTGGCCTCCTCATTGGTTGTTCCTGCATGCCTCCCCTCTATTCCTCCCCCCATGTACTCTTTAGCCTAAAGCAAACTGTTTCTTCCCATTCCCCACACTATCCAGTCCACTCTTTTCCCTGATTCCAGGCTCCGGCGTTCCTGCCTTCTCTTTGGCACACTTGCCATCTGCATTAACCGCTCCCCTGCTGTGCTCAGCTACAGAAATGCCAAAGTCCCTAACACTCAGTTCCATTGACTTTGCCTCCCCCTCCTTATCCCTCTAATAAAATGTGTGCATTTTGTCCTGGCCTGTGTTCAGCTCGTCTCCCCTTGTGGCCACACTGCTCTGGAGTTCCCCACTACATTATAGGTTCAGATGCCGATAGAGCTGAGAGAGCACCTTTAGATTTGCCTCTAGCATCTGAGCCTGCTGCCTCAGCTGCTCCGCTGACTGTGAATTTGCCCCCTCAAGCAAGTGCTTTGACTTGTACACAAGGTTGACCACCTCCAGCACGAGCAGGATGCCTGTAGAGGCTGTATTACCATCCGGCCTCCTCTGCCTGCCAGCCAGTTGGTGGGTCCACTTGTTAAGACTAAATCAGCACTATTTTGAGCTGAGGTTTGCCTAGGGTGTTGGGCACCGGCTCTGGCTCCCCTCATGGCACGGACCTGCTCCCCAATGACTTCTGTGGCTATATAAAAATCAGTAACGCGGGAACGCGAGTTGGGTGTCATTTCATGCATAAGTTCACTAAATTCTTTCAGTTTGTCAATGCTGGTCCCAGACAGCCTGCTGGCTTCGGCTTGTGCTGATGATGTGTGTGAGTGCTCCACGGCGTTGGTGATGAACCTAGCCACAACAGACAGTGTTCCCAGCCCTGCCCCAGCTGCAGTGAGGGCCAGACTCGTCCCTCCTGTAAATGGTGCCAAAACAAGGCCGAGAATAGACATGATGCCAGAGGCAGTGCCAGTGGTGGAGGACACCACATTGGAGATGGTGGAGTCTCTGTGGACCTTTGCAATCCTATCTGCAAGGGCATAAATCTCCCTTATGGACTCCTGAATATCCCTTCGGAGTCGAGGAAAATTTTTCAAAAACCACTCTCTAAACTGCCGGTCTTTTTGCCTCTTGTCTTTGTCGTCAATATCCTCATGTGTTGTAAGTGTCTTCAGAGCTTCATAGAGAGCATCTGCTTCATCTCTGTACCGATAAAGGACAGATGATTAAGAAAGGCAGCTACTTATCTGTAAAATGAGCTCAATAAGATCCATTCTACCTCAATCACAGAACTGTTACTGGAAGTCAAATGGAAATAAAGTTTTAAAATATAAATAATTTTTCAAGGCTAAACATGTTTTGTACGTCATAGATACGCCACGGTACTTACTCAGTGTGGGGAGAAATCAGTTAAAGTCATCTTCAGATGCACCTTACTGGCAGGTGTTGGATAAAGACGGCTCCCCATGCAGGGAGGTCAGCACCGTCAAGACCAGAGTGTGTGAGAGGGGAAACGTTGTAGCAAAACAGAGAAGTCGGATGGGAGCAAAAAGACCTTCATTCAGAGCATCACAGAACAGTGAGAAATTAACTGCATCGGAAGAGCGGTCCTGTGCCCCTGGGAAGTGGTCTCTGGGGCCCTGGAATGTCCTGCCTGGTAGGAACGTCTTTAATTCCCTTGTGGTTTGGCTTCAGGACACTATAGCACTGTGATGGATGATGGGAGTTTGGGGATTCTGGGTTTCTCTCCTGGCCGTCAGAAGAAGTGGAGACTAAGGGAGTGAGGCCTTGGAGATGGACTGGAGACTCCATGTCAGCCACAGGGCCAGTTCGTGCTCCAGACCCGGGAAGAGCTCTGCATTGAGGCACGGGTTGAAAAAGACTTTCTCTTTGTCCAAACTCCAGTTGGGTTGTTCTGAGCCTCTTCTCCTCTAAGCGCCGACCTTGGCCTTCCACACCCATGCTGTGCTTTCTGGGCCTGCACCACCCCAGCTCAGCAAGATTCCCCCAAGTCAGTTTAGGGAGGGTCCTCCCCTGTTGCTGTCCGAGCACCCTTGCTATCCGATCACAGCCTTCATCCGCTCATTGGATGGGTGAGTGTCTGACCTGCCTTTAGGGAGAATCCTCTCAAGCCAGTTTAGGGCAAACCCCCCACTCTGCTGTCTTCTGTCAGTCAGGTTTCATCTCCCACCCCTCACCCTGGTGTCGGCTGTGACTCCCCTCTGTCTTTACTGTATTCAAAGCTGCACTCAGTCTCTCTCTTCTGTAAAAACAATCCTGATAAAGGCTTCCCTCCTGACTTAATGTGATTCTCAGGAACTTTTCCTTAACTGGGTCGTCTTTGCCGCTTGGCAGAACCCCACGTGTTTTGACCCACACTGACACGGGAGAACACAGCGTCCTGGGGACAGTGGAAGCTTCACACCTGAAACCCTCCCAGACTCCTCCCCGTGTGTCTCTTGCTTAGACTGATTTTAATCTATGTTCTTTTCCTGTGATAAACCACAATCCTGCAATAACAGTTTTCAGTGAGTTACGTGAGTCCTTATATCGAATTATTTAGCCTGAGGGGAGCTTAAAGCCCCTCAAGTTTGCCACTGGTGTCAGAAGTTCAAAAGGTGTACTCAGACGTTGCATTTTGGCTAAATCTGAGTACTTAAGAATTCAAACTAAACCTCAGACAGGAGGCATCACTTTGCCCGGTGTGTCCTCTCTTCCAATGCCTCATGCCCTTTGACCTTTCAACTGAAGGCCATTGGGTCCAGTCAATGTCCTTTTTGACTGAAAAGTAAAAGACCTGGCTATGAATCCTGGCTCCACACAAACTCTCCAGCCACCTTACTGCCTCCTGATCTGGCACCTCCACACTTCGGAGACTCCCTCTCACATGTCACCAGCCAAACTAATCTCTTGGCAAGTGACAGCTTCAACTGTATGCATGCCAAGGCCATGTGCAATTTCGTGGACCCTCTTGAGGACTCATGAGACTTTGACACTCATCTCTGTCAATCACTAATGCTGAAAAGACCCAAATTTGGACCAGATGGTAGAGAAGGTGTTTTTCTCTTTGGCTGGGGACTTGTGAGTCTCCTGAGCACCTACTATGTGTCAGTCATCAGGCCAAGCACCTTCCCTTGTTTTTCTCACAATAAAGCTCAATGGATGAAGAAAGGCAGAAAGTAGTCAAGTAACCTGCACCTACTTGTAACCAGTAGGTGGCAGAAATGACCCTGCCCTTACAGGCTTCCTCTCCTCTCGGCCTGAGGCCACTCACTGCCAGTGAAGGACTTGGAGGAAATATTCCTCCTGGACTACTGAGAGGGGTGACCTCAGGCTCAGCAGAGGGGGCTGCCTGGAGGAGGTGTGCCTGAAACAGAAAACCAGCCCAGGGTAGATCTGGGTGTCATCGTGGGGGCACCCCATAAAGGTAACCCCCTGAAAGTTACCTGGGCAATCCAGCCACAGCCACAAATCTTTGCCAGGCTTCACTGTCAGTCCGCAGGATCAACTTCCTTCTGGAAGAATTCGGCGATGTTTTCAGTAAAGTATCTAATTTCTAGTTGGAAGCAAGAAGGATAAGATTGGAGGAAAGTTTGCTGCAGTGCAAACGGCATTGAGCACAAGGTGGTTCCGTGTTAATCCTCCTGACCAGCTGTCACATGGGGTATTTTTGATGGAGGCATCAGTTCTATAGACTGAAATGTATCCCCTCCAAATTCTTCTACTGAGTGATTGTATTTGGACATTGAGCCTTTGGGAAGTCATTAACTTAAAGGAGATTGTAAGGGTCGGACCCTAATCTTGCAGGGCTGGTGTCTAATTAAAAGAAATACAGAGACATAAGATCTCTCTATTCCCTCTCTTTCTGCTCTGTCTTGCCCTCTCGCCCTCTCTTCCTCATTCCTTCCCTTTCTCTTTCTTTCTTTTTTTGAGACGGATTTTTGCTCTTGTTACCTAGGCTGGAGTGCAATGGCCCGATCTCGGCTCACCGCAACCTCCGCCTCCTGGGTTCAGGCAATTCTCCTGCTTCAGCCTCCTGAGTAGCTGGGATTACAGGCACGCACCACCATGCCCAGCTAATTTTTTGTATTTTTAGTAGAGACGGGGTTTCACCATGTTGACCAGGATGGTCTCGATCTCTTGACCTCGTGATCCACCCGTCTCAGCCTCCCAAAGTGCTGGGATTACAGGCATGAGCCATTGCGCCCGGCCCTCTCTCTCTCTCTCTCTCTCTCTCTCTCTCTCTCACGCGCGCGCGCGCGCACACACACACACACACACACACACAGAAACATGGGGGAAGACCATGTGAGGACACAACACTGAGGCAGCTTCTGCAAGCCAGGAACAGAGCCCTTTCCAGACACCAACCCTGCTAACACCTTCACCTTGGACTTCTTGCCTCCAGAACTTTGAGAAAATAAGTCAGTTGTTGAAGCCATCCAGCCTGTGGCATTTTCCTAGGGCAGGCCGAGAAAAGTAATTTACCAGGGAAATGCCATGGTGCTTTGGGGAGGAACCCATCTATTTCAGCTGGCCTCTCTTGGGGCTTGGGGCAGACTCATTGGCTCCTTCTTCATCCGGGTTCCTCTGGGGCTCACTGGCTCTGGAGGCACCACCTTTCATTCTAGGTGTGAGTAGGAACCAGCCAGGGAAGAGGAGGTGAGCCTACCTGAGTCTATGATGCCAGCGACAAGGTCACTGAGAGGCTTACCTGGGAGCTCTGCAGCCGCTGTCCAGTCTGGACGGTTTTGCTGCACCCTTGAGGAGGAGAAAACAAATTGTGGGATCGAATGTGAGCCACCTGTGGACAGCGGGAGGTTCGAGCAGCCGAGCTCTGCAGATCCCTCTGGGGTGGCGGCAAATGACAAGGCCAACCTAACCCAGATAGTTTCTCTGTCACCTGGCCCCCATCATCTGCTCTTTATAGACACTCAACTCGCTCCAACTCCCTCTGCCCTCACTCCCACACCAAGGCAAAGTCAGATTGTCCAGCTGGGGTATGAGCAGAAGATAATCAGAGGACGGGCAGCTATCTGACAATAACAGAAACTACAGAATCTATACGCAGAAAGAGAGATGGAAAGGAACGTTGTGACAGTGACCTGGGCCTGGGCACGTGTGTGATAACTAATGGATGACAGCCAGTGTGTGCTGAGTGTCTGTGGTGCACAGGGCCTCTTCCACGTGTCTCATTAGATGACCACACACAGGCCAGGAGGTGGGGGCCACTTTCCCACTTGAACGCAGAGGAATCCACAAAAGTCAGGGAACCTGCCGGTGTTTTCACAACAGTGCTAGAGCCAGGCCTCCTGCTTCAATCCCATGTCTTCAGTGACTCTGCTCTACTCCCTTAAATAACCCATACTGAGTCATGGATTCGAGCTCATTGTAAGTAATGCCTCACTGCAAATCCATGTCTCACATCTGTGCCTAACCCTTGGTCTTGGTGAATTCACTGGTGCTGCAGATGATGGCCAGCACCCCTGTTGCTTCTCTAAGATCCTTCATCCCACAAAGTCCTGGATCCTGCCAGATGCTGGCCCGGCCCCTGCTGTGGCTGCGGCACCCTCCTGGTGCTGCCCTGTTCCCTCTGCTGTCCTCCCCTAGCTGATGGACCTCACAGTTTCTAATTCTTCTTCTAAATTTAGCTACAAAGTGTTCTTTCCCGTAAAACTTTGCCCACATCTGAGATGATTTCCTTAAGATATCTGTAGGAGAAGAATGACTAGGTCAGAGGCTATCAACATCTCAGAAGGTTTTATACCTAGAGCCACACTGTACGCAAATTGTACCAGTTCACACTCAGACTGGCAGTCTCTGGAGATGCCCATTCATTCAGTCTTACTAGCTCTCAGCAGTCTCTTCTTTAGGACGAAAAATACATACACAACCTATAAATATGAGAACTAGATATACTTGTTATCAATACAAATTAGGACAAAATTTTAAGCACAAAGGCAGCAGTTGGGATGTGAAGCACTGAATGAAGGAGAAGGAGGATTAACATTGTCATTTTTAAAAGAGGGAAGTTAAGAAACACTGGGTACAACTGAGCATATAGGAAAGTTGTAAGTAAATTGTTTCCAGCTAGAATGTTGCTCATGGAAGACATCAAACTGGCGAGACAGTGTCAGAAAAAGGTGGCGAGGAGAGGGAGGGGCAGTGTGCATGCAGGATGAGAATGACTAATAATGACACTGTAGGTAATAACACTGACACCGCTTCAGCCCGTCACAGTTAGGGGCGGCTCCAAGCATTACCAGTTTTCTTTCCTCACAGTGTGTCTCTGCTCACTCCCTGGCACAGCCAGTTCCAGATTAACAGCACAGTGGTTCGCGGGGGCTCTGATGGGGCTGTATCCTCCAGGTCTCATACAAAAGCCGCCTTCTCAAAAGCCACTCACCTCTCTTTCCCCTTCCTGCCTTTGTCTCAGGGTTCAGGCCCCCAGATGTGTGTCTTCTGGGGCCCCCATGAAGCAAGGGTAAAAGGGGGACTCAGTCCTGAACAGAAGTTCACCAGGGGAGTATGCAGAGGGGTGTCTGGGCGCTCGCTGCTGTAAGGAACAGGCGTGAGAGGAGAGGGGCTTTTCTTCCCCTTCCTCCTGTTGTTCTCTATGTGACCCTCTAGGCCAGGGCAGCTGTCTTAACACCATGAGCCAGGAGGACCAGGAGAGAACAGAGGAGCAGGAGGGCAGAGACAGCTGGGGCCTTGGACACGCCCCACACTTGTGAGGAGCTGCACCTGGGATCCCATCCTTCCTGGTCATTATTGGCCTCTGCTGAATATTGAGGCTGGATCTGCCCGTTAGCCTTGACTAGGACATAGCAGGTGTCCTAGTCCTGGGCAAGTCTGCCGGTCGGTCAATTCTCGGAAGAAACTTTGGTTCCTGGAAGAAGTCCAGATGGTGCCTGGTCCAGCCCTCGCCCTGCCCAACTGTGCGGCCCAGACAGGGAGCCCTCCCTCCTGCCTCAGCGCTCTGAGCCAAGCTCACCAGATGCAGAGGACATAGACTCAGACTGGGCGCGTTGGCTCATGCCTGTAATCCCAGCACTTTGGGAGGCCGAGATGGGTGGATCACGAGGTCAGGAGTTCAAGACCAGCCTGGCCAACATGGGGAAACCCCGTCTCTACTAAAAATACAAAAATTAGCTGGGCATGGTGGCGTGTGCCTGCAGTCCCAGCTACTCGGGAGGCTGAGGCAGGAGAATTGCTTGAACCTGGGAGGTGGAGGTTGCAGTGAGCCAAGATTGTGCCATAGCACTCCAGCCTGGAGCCTGGCAACAGAGTGCGATTCTGTCTCAAAAAAAAAAAAAGAAAGAAAGAAAAAATATATATGTAAAAGAGATGAGATCTCACTATATTAACTGCGCTACTCTTGAACTCCCGGCCTCAAGTGATCCTCGCACCTTGGCATGAGCCAGTGCACCAGGCCTGCTTTTGTTGAATGCCATGCCTTGTGGCTTCTAGACATTTGCTTATGAGGGTCTTCTACCAGCAGCACCTGCTTCCCCCACTTGGAAAAATCATGCTCATCCTTCAATGACAAAATCAGGAACTGCTTTTTTTCAGAAACCCCCAGCGTCCTCCCAGCAGGGGCCACTGACCCGAGTTCCACTCACAAGGAGCACTCGGTAGAGGAACTGAGACCACTGCTCAGCCACACTTCCACAGCTAAGAAGTCGGGTCACCAGATTGCCGTCAGACTTTTCTGCTTTGCCGCAGGCAGAAGGGCCTCAGAAATGGCATGCTGCCAGTGTAACAGTTACACAACCGACTACCTGTATTTGTACTGCCGCCGGCAGATGCCCAGTCCATCACATACAGCGTACCTGATGTGACATTGCCCTGCTCTAACCTGAACAGAAACCATTTCTGGGAGTGTGCACGGTGGCTCACGCCTCTAATCCCAGAACTTTGGAAGGCCAAGATAGGTGGATGACCTGAGGTCAGCAAATTGATTTCAATGTGGCAAACATGATGAAACCTTGTTCCTGCTAAAAGTACAAAAATTATCCAGGCATGGTTGTGCACGCCTGTAATCTCAGCCACTCAGGAGGCTGAGACAAGAGAATTGCTTGAACCCAGGAAATGGAGGTTGCACTGAGCCAAGACCCTGCCACTGCCCTCTAGCCTGAATTACAGAACAAGACTTCGTCTCAAGAAAAAAAAAAAAAAAAAAGCAAGGAAATTGTTTCTGGGTTTTCTTGTGAGCAGAGAACTCACTGTGGGATGTGCTGTGATGACACAAGGGAGGCGGGTGGGAAACCTTGTACCAACCGTAGGAGTGTCTCCAAGTCCCCACCTTATCCACTGGGGTGCGCCATGGTGGGCCTGCCGAGGAGAAGGGCAGCCGCTCCCCGCACACCCAGCGGTCCGTTTTGTTCTGGGCCACAGTCTGCATCCAGTCTGCAAAGAAATCTGCTGTGTGCCCGCTATGGACAACAGGTGAGATGTTGAGCAGGCACTAGAAGGGGAGTCACAGCTATTCAACAAGACATAGGAGGGGGTGTCCTTTTGACAGAGCCACACCCAGGCAGCGGTCAGGTGCCTGTCCTGCAATAACAAATGGATTAGTGCCCCCCTGCGAGGTGTTGCAGGAGACCATAGTAGGACAGTGGAAGCATTACAATGTCCCATTAAGACGGGGTGATTGTCCATAGTGGAGGATCCGGGCCCACTATTTCAGAAGTGCAAGGGATAGTAGGATGTAATAGGGAATGACTTGTAAATCCTCCTCTAGGCACTTTCCTCCTGGGGTAGAAAAACTGAACCAGTGGGAACTGGTTTGTTATTTCCAAGGTACTTAGTCATTGGCTGCCTGGCGCATAAGTCCTGTGGCAAGGGCAGCAGCAGCTTACCTGGAGTCCCAGGTGGGAGGCAAAGGAGTACTGTCCCCAACACTGTCGACCTGGTTCCTGATGGTGGCGTCAGGCCCTTGTGTCAGAAGAGTGTATGCTGGGGTGCTGAGAACGTGCACAGGCTCATTCAGGCTTAATACAGCTGCTGGTGAGCAGCAGGCCCACAGAACCAGATAGCAGAATTGTCTCATGACGAGCTGTCTGTGTCCCAAGCCTGCTGAGAAATAGGGCCCTGCCCCTTCTGTATGAAGGAGGGGTTTGTGGAGGTTCCGCCACCCCGTCAAAGCCTCCCTTGGCCGTCACACAGGTGACAGAGCGAGCGCCGAGTGAAGCAGCGTACTCACGAGCCTGCTGCTCAGTGTGCTCCTTAGTTCAAGGATTCTTGTCACTTAGCAACAGTTGGTGTTTGCACATTCCTGGATTTTGGTTTCTGGAAAGTGTCTCTCCACCATCCTGTTATTTGGCACTGGTGTGTACTGGCACTGGGGACGCCTCGGAAATGACCTGCACTTGCTGGAGGGCGTGATATATTGGCCTGAGTTGTTACAGCCAGCTCTGGCTCCTTCCATGGTTGGGACCAGAATGGTAAAGGGACATGTTTCTGTCCCCGTCTTTGCCACAGGTCCCACCCAAGCCCCTCAGCGGCAACTGGCTGTGTCCAGTTGACAAGGCTGTTCCTGCACTGATTCTCCTGGGGCTTGTGTTTGCTTCGCTGCAGCCTCAGCTTGCTCAGAAGTCCCATTCTCTTTTGTGGGCCAGTCCACTGGGCTCCCTTCTTGACCAGGCTCTATAGGGGCTCATGGAGTGGGCTATTTGGGGGTCCAGTCGTTCAGAGGCTTATGAATATTTGCAATTGCTTTCGTGGAGTGGAGCATGCATTTCACTACCCTAACTCTCAGCTGGAATTCCTTAGAAGTCATTTGGAGTGTGAAATATGATAAAATAGCCATGCCCAGAATGCATTTTGGAATGAGAATTATGTATACCAAATAGGGTTTTTGTGGCAATCTCTCAATGAGTAATATAAACTGCACCTGCCTCACCATCACAGCTGCTTCTCCTAACCACTTATGAGTGTCATAAGCCCTTGCAACAAATGGATCTTTTTTTTCTTATTTTTGAGATGGAGTTTTGCTCTTGTCACCAAGGCTGGAGTGCAATGGCGCAATCTCGGCTCACTGCAACCTCCGCCTCCTGGGTTCAGGCAATTCCCCTGCCTCAGCCTCCTGAGTAGCTGGGATTACAGGCATGTGCCACCATGCCCAGCTAATTTTTTGTATTTTTAGTAGAGACGGGGTTTCACCATGTTGACCAGGATGGTCTCCATCTGTTGACCTCATGATCCACCCGCCTCGGCCTCCCAAAGTGCTGGGATTACAGGCGTGAGCCACCGCGCCCGGCCCAAATGGATCTTAACATACAGATAATAGAGCACTTGGCTCCCATGTCCACTAGGACAAGAACGGTCTGTTTCAATACATAGCGGGTTCTACATGTGTTCTCCAGTCCCCAGATACCTTGGCCGCCATTATTCTTATTAGGAGCCTAAAGTCCTGGTCCTTATCCTGATCTAAAGGGTTGGTGCCTGTGGGAAGGCAGTGAGCTATTCCCGTGGTTCTTTAGGAAAGTGCTGCTCTGGCTTAAGTTTCTGGCACATGCAAACATCGCAGCATTGGGCAGTTCCCCTGCCTTTCCAGTAGCTTTTCTTGTCGCCACCTTGATCGGGGGAGTCGCTGTAAAGGCCTTTTTGCTGCCTCCTTTCCCTTTGCTTCCTTGTCTTTTATCTCAACTGTGCACTCTCTGCATTTGAGGTGTTCCTTGTAGAACACCCCAAACGAATGCCCTGAGTAGCCACCCCTGGCTCCATATCTCACAGCAGCGAACAAACATTCATTAAGGAACATGTGGTCATTCCTGGGATATTCCAGAGTCGTTTTCTGGCAAGACATGCCCACAATACAACATCTGACAGTGTTTCCTGTATGATTTTAACGTACCAGATAAGCCAACCACGTCTTTTCTAGACTTCAGGGGACCTAATATCTAAAAAGTTAAAAAGGTCAAAAGACCAAATTTGGATTTGGATTTTGGAAAGTTTGTCAAATATCAAAGGCTTACAACACTCTATATTACTAAATAAGTTATTGTAAAATAAGTCATTCTTTTAGCCAAAGCAATAATTCAGATATTTCAAAGCAGCGAAAAAAAAATTTTTTTTTGAGACGGAGTTTCACTCTTGTTACCCAGGCTGGAGTGTAATGGTGCGATCTCGGCTCACTGCAACCTCTGCTTCCTGGGTTCAGGCAATTCTCCTGCCTCAGCCTCCTGAGTAGCTGGGACTACAGGCATGCGCCACCATGCCCAGCTAATTTTTTGTATTTTTAGTAGAGATGGGGTTTCACCATATTGACCAGGATGGTCTCGATCTCTTGATCCACCCACCTCGGCCTCCCAAAGTGCTGGGATTACAGGCGTGACCCACTGCACCCAGCCCCAAAGCAGCAAAATTTATTACTCTTTGATAGAGGAAGAGTCTCACTTTCCCAAACAGTAAGATCTCATAAAGACAGCATGAGGTCAATGGAATCTGCCTTTCTCGCTCTACTTTTGATGCAGCTTACTCAAAAGGCAAAAAAAAAAAAAAAAAAAAAAATTACTCTCTCTTACAAGAAAATCTTATTTAAAAGAGAAAATGAAGATTTACCTTTGCATAGTGTATTATTGTATTAGTCCATTTTTACGCTGCCGATAAGGACATATCCATGCCTCGGCAATTTACAAAAGAAAGAGGTTTATTGGACTTACAATTTCCTCAAGGCTATGGAGACCTCAAAATCGTGGCCAATGGTAAAAGCGCATCTCACAGGGAGGCAGACAAGAGAAGATATCGTGTTCAGGGAAACTCTAGTTTTTAAAATTATCAGATCTTGTGAGACTTATTCACTATCACAAGAACCGAATAGGAGTGACCTGCCACCGTGATTCAGTTATCTCCCACGGGGACCCTCCAACGACAGGAAGGAATTATGGGAGCTACAAGATAAGTTTGGGTGCAGACACAAAGCCAAATCATATTATTTCTAATTACTTCTAATCTTGCCTTCCCAACAGTCCCCCAAAATCTTAACTCATTTCAGCATTGACCCAAAAGTCCACTGTCCAAAGTCTCATCTGAGATAGGGCAAGTCCCTTCCACCTATGAGTCTATAAAATCAAAAGGAAGTCAGTTACTTCCTAGATACAATGAAGCCTGTACCCCATTGGGTAAATACAGTGATTCCAAGTGAGAGAAATTGCCCAAAAGCAAAGGGGCTCCAGGTTCCAGGCAAGTCTGAAATACAGCAGGTCAGTCAATCAAAGCTCCAAAAGGATCTGCTTTGATTCCATGTCTCAGGACCAGGTCATACTGCTGCAGGAGGCATAGTCTTGGGCAGCTCTGCTCTGTGTCTTTGCGGGGTACAGCCTCCATCCCAGCTGCTTTCATGGACTGGCGTTTAGTGTCTGTGGCTTTTCCAGGCACACGGTGCAAGCTGTCAGTGGATCTACCATTCCGGAATGTGGAGGACAGTGGCCCTCTCTCACGGCCGCATTAGGCCGTGCCCCTGTAGAGACCCTGTGTGGGAGCTCCAACTCCACATTTTCCTTCGGCACTGCCCTAGCAGAGGTTCTCCATGAGAGCACTGCCCCGGAGGCAACCTCTGCCTGGATATCCAGGCATTTCCGTACATCCTCTAAAACCTAGGGGGAGGTTCCCAAACCCCAGTTCTTCACTTCTGTGCAGTGGCAGGCTCAGCACCACGTGGAAGCTGCCAAGGCTTGAGGCCTGCACTGTCTGAAGCCGTGGCCTGAGCTCCAAACTGCCCTAGTTTTCATCCACTGGCTCCTCTTTCTCTCCATAGGTCAGCCAGACTGTGTTTCTGTTCCCTGTAAACAAAAGAATCTCCGCTGACACAGGCATTACAGCAGAACCGCATCAAATGCAGCTAGCATGATGAAGTTTCATAAGGTTTCAGGGGTAAATGGGTGCGTTATTCTTATAAAATAAGTCAATTACTCAGAGACTGAAACCCTCGATGCCCAAGTGAAATCTGTGAAAGGAAGTAAATTATCCAAGAATTGGTAAAGAAGTGAAACATCGTTTATGCCATCAGGCAAGTGGGTGGCCATGGCTCTCTCACCTTCTTCAGGAAGAAATCAAGAAATCAATTGAAGCCTCAGGAAAACATTGGTTGATGGAGAGTTGGAGGGACTGAGGCAAGTCTTCTGCAGAATGTGACACACAAAATAACTCAGTAGGCCCTGGATCTAATTTATGAGTGACTTAGGGGAGGTTCTAGGGTGATTCTGTTCATCCATGTGATGAGGCTTGGATGTTTGTTTCTCAATACTTATGCTGAAGTGTGACTTCCAATGTTGGAGGTGGGACCTCATGAAAGGTATGGGGTCATGGGGACAAATACCTCATGAATGGTACAGCACCATTTCCTAGGCGATGAGAGAGTTCTCAGTTCGCACGAGATCGGATTGTTTAAGAGTCTGGGCCCTCTGACCAGACCCTTCCTCCCTCTCTCAACATGTGACATGCTGGGTACCCTGGCCCCAAATAGAGCCACTTGCCACGTCCTCCCCCTCTCTGCCATTCTCAACACCATCTTCACCACTGTTAGGACAAAATCATGGAAATGCCACATCCTCCCCAAAGCCGGAAACGAACCACAAGATCAATGAATGACTTGAACAACTCCAGCTTGACAAGTAGGTGAGTTTATCAGGGTTTACATACAGGGCACTCCTGGGCTGTAGCAAGAACGCGCTGGAGATCCATGTTTTCTCCTGTCTCTAAACTGCTTCTAAGCCAGGATTCGGGCTCTTCACCAACCGTGTATGAGCGATGAGAATGTTCTTGGTTGGTTCTCAGATACTCTTCAGGATGTTTGGTTTCTCACATACACTAATTTCTCAGCTGGGGACCATGGCCTTGATCCCCCACCTGGCCTTCAGGGTTCAAGCAGGGGACATACCCTCAAGTAACATGAAGGGACCTGTCACACTCCAACCAGCACCACCACCACCATCAAGAAACCGCTGCCTGACAAACCAGTAGGAGGGCAATAAAGAGCAGATGCTCGAAGGACAGGGTCGGGGACCATCACCAGGGAAAGACTTCATTCCTCGAAGGACATCAAATTGG